AGATCATGATGCCACTGAATGACACCAATCATAATTTACCAGGTCCTTATTTTTCTTTATGCCTTAAGGTGAGAGAAAGAAATATGCCTGTAGAGTAGAGACTATACCATGGGCTGGTTGACTAGGTCTTCTATGAGAAGCTTATCACCCCGTCAGGGTGATAAGCTTCTGCTTCTATGTAAAGGATTTTACTATACTGCACATACTTGTTGGGTAACTTATCTTATAAAATTAGTAAAATATAGCAGGAATAAATTATTGATATCAAAAATAAAATAATGGTTATGACAAGAAGTCTTTCCAAGTTATATAGGTGGCTGGCTTAGCTGTTTTGGCAACGTTATCTTGATCTGTTCATTTTTGTCATTGACAGCAAGACGGTGACTACTTAACTTTAAGGGGTTATGAAATACTGGCTACAGAAAATCAATTTGACATGATTTTCTTTCATGCTGCTCGACAACTGACTGAATGCCTGGAACGGGCTGAGCACTGCAGCCACCAAAATAATTTTTTCCCCAAGTGCTCTTCGTAATCCTCTATTTTTCACATTGTAACAAACCTGAATGCCTGGAGTAGGATACTGCAGTGGTAAACAATGGTTATTCACGTTAACAATATATATATCAAAAGCTACATTAATTAAATTAATTAATTTAATACAAATTATATTAAAATTGGTTTTGCGATTACTACGCCATGCGATTGGCTTAAAAAACTCGCACCACTTTTTCATCCAATCAGAAGTAAAACCAAAACCAATCGCAACTCGTTCGCACGCGTTTTCCGGCGCTTTGCGTCAGCCACATGTAATTACTACGAGTTTTGATTGGTTCACTGTAGTGTTTATTGCTTGATGTCTATCTTTGATCGACAGAAGTTAATGTATTGCAGCGCAGCCTAAACCTCGGCCTGGCAGCTTGCTCCGTGCAAGTTTGCAAAGGGCCTCGCTATGGCATCGGTTTCCATAGCAACCGTCCAAGCACCGATCTCTCAGTTGGGTACCGCCTTCCTTTCGGGGCCACTCCACTGGTGCCTTGTTCCTTTGCATTCCCAGCAACACCCCGCCTTCGTTCGTTGCGTAGTGGAACAGACATTAACTTTGTGATTGGCTAGAGTGATTACTTTGGTTTTGGTTTTGCGACAGTCAATTGAAAACCGCTCTAATCTGCAAATTAAATTAATAAATAAAATCAAGTGTCCATATACCATAAAATTTAAAGGACCCTTTTGAGGGGCTTATTTTTGGAAGGGGCTTATATTCGGAGGGGATTATTATAGGAGGGAAATTTGCGTTTCAAAATTGGTTGAGATTATAATTGGAGGGAAATTTGTGTCAAAATTTTTGAATGTGCAACTGGTAATATTAGGGTTTTAGCTAGAAATTCGTAACAAATTAATCACACTGAAAATGCCAAGTTCAAACACAACGGCAATAAACCGAACTTCCTTGCAAATACTTTGTCTACGGACCGAAGGAATTCAAGGCGCGAGTGAAGGGC